TCACATCACATATGATATATTTCACAGAAAATTTTATTTTATTTTCATTTCCAAAGTTAACATCTTCATTAGATAATTTCATAATTTCGTCCATAAATTCTTTTAAAAATTCATAATCTTTACTACTATAACATGCACCCGTGATAAATTCGTTTCTGTAGAAATTATATTCACCAAAATCGGGCAGAGTAAATTATTATTTGATTTGAATATGGATAACCCCATCAGTATTTATTGCTATTTCTATACATGATAACTGAGGCAAAATTTGAAGGCTACACAATTTTTTAATTTGATTTTTTAAGCCGAAGTATACATAGTCTCCATTAACCATTCTTCCTATAAAGGAATTTCTAGGAGTGCCCACAAGTGTATGTGCATCACTTGGTTAATTGTTAAAGCATTCTGTTTGATTTGGAATTTTAAGCTCCATTCCATTAATTCCAGAAAAGGGTTTTTACGAGTAGAGTAATTTGAAACGTTGTATAAGGTATATTTTATTTCCCTTTTCTGTCCGAATGAAATAGATTCAGTACCTGTCTTACCAACTTCAAAACAAGCAGTATGGGTCGAAATGCAAGGTATATGAGTTTTGTATTCCGAATCACAGTTTGAAATGGAACTTAAAGAACATTTGCTAGCACGAAAATTCGGCAGAGGCATTTTTACATAATTAAATGCTACTTCATCTTCTGATGAATCCGATAATATACATTGATTTATTCTCCTATAAATCCATCTTTTAGATATATGAGATAATGTTTTTTTTTGGTTCTGATCGTTTTTGTAGAATAAAAGGAAAATTTTAAAACTTTCTCACACTCTTTCTATGTAATGCTTGTTTGTGAAGTCAGTTCTTAACTGGAACAGAATTTGAAACGACAGCAATTCTTCAGCAGAATAGCTGAATTCTAGAAATTTAGAAAGTAAGTAGATGTACTTTTTAACTTTGAGCGGTTCTTCAAGGATATCACTATTACGCAGCAATTAACACTATCGGTGGCATTCTGCATCCTTTGTCGTGAAGGGATGTTTCCCTTGTAGGGGGATACAAAGAAGGGAAGGTCTGCCACATTAACAGAAGAAAAATCTTCTTGGGGCATCGGCTATAGAAAAGTGCTTAGAGGTGTTAATTTCTAGCAGAGCATGGTGTCTCAAAAGCAAAGAAATTTTACGAAAATTGATAGTAATGGAAACAAAGATTTAAGATTTTCAACTTCAATTGTTATTTATAGTATAAAATAAAGTAATAAAATTGCTGATTTTAAAAAATGCATTTAATTTAAAAATTAAATCTTTTTAATTAAAAGTTTGAACATCTATTTAATCCGTTATCTAATTTTGAGTTTTCATTTAACTTTGTGTTATTTCCCTTGAAGAAATGTGTTTACTGCATTTTCTGGGTGTTACAATTAAATTAATAAAGTAGTAATTATTGTTAAATTATGAGGAGTCATGTAGCAAAGCCGGCATAACATATAAGATTGGAGAGTGCTGGGTATATTTCTTTCGCACTTTGTTTAGCAAAGACCAAATATTTGTATGGTTAAAAAGCTTTCTGAGGGAGCAAAGTGAGGTTTGTGGAAGGTAAGAACTTAATGTTATTTCTTCCCATTCTTAAACCTCATTTTCCTATTACAGAGAGGTAAAAAATAAGTTACTTCTTACCTCAGTTGCTTTGAAAGACTAATTCTGATTAGAACTTACCAGAAAATGAACCAAGAAACTGCAATGAATTTTTTAGCCCAATAAAATTGTTTGCCTATTTATAAATTCAAATTAAAGCAAGTTAAACGTCATACAGACTAGTTTTTAACTGTGTCTGTAAACTAAAATTTCATGGGTTAAATAAACTTCTTGTTACTTATTACTGCACAACAATAAACATCATTCATTACTAATATAATAATAGTCTAAGAGATCAAAAAGTATTTTTTTTATTTTGCAGTTTCAAAGTACAAAGTCTTTAATCTGGACTCGTCGGGACTATGGCGATTCCGGATTAGGGTTTTTTCCGGATTATAGATCATCAATTTAAATCTGGTAAGATGGCATGCAGAAATTATAAAATTTAAAATATGAAACCGTAATTCATGACATAAAGAGCAATTATGATCTAAGAGGTATCAAAATTTACAAAAAAAAAAAAAAAAAAAAAAAAAAAATTTATTTGCTTATTTTATTAAACATTTCTTTCCACGCGCACATGCGTAAAGCATTCGTTACGGATAGTCAAAATTAGGAAATTGCAAGCAAAAAACTATTTAATGTGTATTCGTGATATTTATAATGATGAGGAATTTGATTTAAATCATATCAAAGGCGGAGTACATCGAGATGAAATACTGCATTTAGTAAGAAATTATAAGCTGAATAAAATAAAAACATCTGCCTTGAAGATGAGGATAGTGCTGATAGATCAATAGATCAACTTCCAGTTCATTGCGTGCCGTGACGTCCCCCTTCCCCCAACAGAGCAGCGTGAAATTGATAAACAGATTTCGGAATTGTTAGAGAAACAAAGGATATGCCTTTATCCATTTTTTGCAGCAATTCCGCTTTTTGTTTAATTGACATTGAAACATGCTTTCTCTTTGTAGATCCTTTGCAGTTCCAGAATCCGAAACTCTTTTTGACATTTGGCAGCTCCAGAATCCGAAACTCTTTTTGACATAATCGAAATTTCAAGCTTACTTTTTATAAAATTGCTGTAATAGTCTGCAAAAAATAATAAGCCAGATCCAGTTAGAAAATTAAGGAACAACGCAATCTGCAACATTAACTGAAGTAGATAATTAGATAATTTTAGCCTCGCTTATACCGTCTGTTATACATTAAACGTGCATGTGTAGATCATTCCGGATTATGGACGTTCGGATTAAAGACTTTGTACTGTATAGTTATTTCTATGTCAAGAACTAGCTAATGGGACTATTTTTGGATCTAAATGCTTTCAGTGATAAGTTTTGCTCTAAAATCTTGAATTGAATAGAATACTCTTATAACTTGATTAAGTAAGTGCATTGCAGAAATCACTTAAATAGTCATGCAAAATGCCATCTCTCAACTATTCAAAACCATTTCTTCTTCTAATCTCAAAAGCATACAGAACTACTCCTACGAATACATTACAAGTAATAACAGGAATTCCACCTATTTTTCTTTAAGTTATAGAAAGAAGCTACGAAAGTACAAGACTACGTGTCCATAGCAGTCTGAACAATAATCAGTATTTCCCGGATAAATTTGAATAACAGTTTCACAATATTGATTTAAATCTATCTGATTTTCATACAAAATCACTTATTACTACATCTCCATCCTATTGCTTCACTGTACAAATATTTACTGATGGATCCAAAACTGAACTAGGAGTAGGCTCTGCATATTGCGTCTTTTATAATAATAAATTAATCAATAAATGGCACCAATGACTCTGTCATACAAACTCAGTCTTTCAAGCAGAATTACTTGCAATAGAAGAAGCTATCACCTTTGCCAAAGACTTTTCCCTTTCTAGCTTAATAATTAGAGATAGTGCATCCAGTATCTATGCAATAATTGGCCATATTCGATCTCCAATAGATTGCAATGTTCATTATCTTCTCTCTCACTTTACTCACAATCTACTATCCAAATTCAAATGGACAAAAGCACATTCTGGAACTATATGAAACGAAACAGCTGATGAACTAGCCAAATATGCTGCTAATAACCCGTCTTTACCTCAACGTTTGCTACCAAATCCTTTATCTTACTTAAACAATAAGCTAGAAGATGATCTACTTGACCTATGGAAACAGGAATGGACATCGGAAAATGCAGGCAGAAGAACTTTCCTATTCCTGCCGGTACCCTCAAGAAAATTATTATTATCCTGCAATAGAGCTATCACCATCTTTGTCACCTCACATGGTCCTTTTCCAGAATATCTTAACAAATTCTGTCTCCATCACTCAAACCTATGTATCTGCGGACATATTGGTACTCTTGATCACTACCTATTTAACTGTGAAATCACAAAGTATCTTCACCTTAAACCATTTACCACAACATCAACACAACTCTGGTTCAAACAAATACTAAAAAGCAACTTCCTTCGCAGTAAACTTCAAAATATCATAAACTATTTATCCATCAACTGCGAAAATTTAAAAGTTCCATAAATTTGATTCAATTGGGGGGGGGATTCTAGTCTAATTAATAATATTCTTAAACTATGGAATTGTACATATATGGACATTCTTCAAGACATAGACACCTATGTATGAATTTCTATGTATAATTATATGAACTTCTACATATAATTATATGGACTTCTATATAGATATTATGTTTCGTTTTATTACTTTACTAACCCTCTGAGCATTATGGCAGGCTTTATCCAGTCATGAGATTTTTTGTCATTTGTTATATATTAACTTATAATTTATGATATTTTGCTTTCTTACTTTCTTTAATAATATAAATATCATCTTAATAAATGTAAGTTTATGAAAATAGAACCTAAAGTATGTAAATATACAAATTTAGCTAATAAAGTGTCTTTGAATACAGGTCTTCATGACAGCTCCTAAAACCCATGCTGCTCAGAGGGTTAATTTTACAACATATAGACATTTTACATATGAACATTCTTCACGATATGGACTTTTGCATATATTTATATATTGATTTCTACATGGACTTTATATATTTATTTATTTTTAAAGTTACATTACGTATTCAACATTTCTAATTATTTATGTTTTGTATATTAACCAATTGTAATGTAACATGTACTCTAAATTGTTATAATTATTGTTATAATAAATGCCACTGAGCTGCAGATGGTGGATAGTACCCATAAATAGAGCATACAAGCCGAAAGTCTAAATGATAGTGTGGTTGCTTTGTTGATGGACTTCAGTATCTTCTGTTATATCCCAGATCAATTAATGGCACTTAAGTATATTAAGACTGTAAGATCCTTATATTGTTTTATTTATTATTTATTTTAGGTGAACACATTTGGTACATTTAATGTAATTAGACTAGCTGCTGGCCTGATGTCCAAAAATGTGGCTGATGAAGATGGACAGAAAGGTGTAATAGTTAACCTAACTAGCTCCCATGCTTTTGAAGGCAGTGTAGGTCATGTTGCATTTGCTGCAAGTAGTGGATGTATTGTTTCAATGACATTGCCCATTGCTCGTGATCTTGCATCTGAAGGAATCCGTTGCTGTGCTATAGCAACAGGTAGGTAAAATTAGTGTGCTTTAAATTTTAAAGAAATTAATTAACTGTTGATTATTCTCATCATTAGAGAGCAGTTTCTCTGTGACTAGGTAATTCATTTTTGTGACAAAAGAAATGAAAACTTTTTTATGGATCTGATAAACTACCGATTATTCTCTTATCTTCCCACTCCATACTGTTAAGATATCTGATACTACTTTAAAGGGAAATAAATGTTCTCTTATTATTAAGGTGGAAGAGAGATACAGAGTAGAAATGTTAAAGCAGAGAAAATTCAGTCATACATTTGTACTGGTTTGTCTGAAATATGAAAAGGTCATTGCTTGATATGGAGTAGAATAATTTACTGGAGACTTGAGGTGAAGTTGTCATTGCTGCTTTGAAGATAAGGCATTTAAATAATTTTTTTCAAGCAAGTTAAAATAGTTGTAATGCATATTTGAAATAATTTTTAACTCAATTTTTTTAAATAATTTCTATTCATTAAATTGTATTGAACTCAGATTGGTATGATATTCATGGGAAAACATATTAAGGGCTTTATATTAAAATAATTTGCAAGTAAATTTTAAATTGTTCAGAAGCTGAGGTCATCTTCAAAGAATATTTCAACCTTTGACCAAAAATAGATAATATGGTTAGAATAATGTATGGTGCCTCATACAAAGTCATTATAGTTCACATATTTTCCCTTTTCTTATCTTTAGTATTTATCAGGAGGGGCTCCTCACAGCCCTTCCTCCACTTAGAGACATTTGTACAGGGATTAGGAGGATTGTGTTATATAATCAAATAAATACAGCCTACATTACTAAGCAGCGAGACTTTGAAAGAAATCAGCATTTTGTTCTTTTAACCCTTTGCGGCGCACTATGTGTTAACGTCGGAATTCCAACAAAAAAAAAGTTGTATGCAGTCTATTTAGTCCTAAAGGAGTATACAGGTAAAATTTTGTAAAAATTTCACTTACCGTTTTAATTCTGTGGGTGTTCCATGAGGTAGAACACTGTGCCACCAGAGCTTTTAAAAGTTCGACTAAGCGAGCATTGCAGTGAAGCACGAAAATGAGTAGAAGCGTTTGTATAAGAATGAAAAAACTCTGTATTATGGTTGTATACATGGTTTCCTGGATATACACAATATTCTTGAATATATATGGATAAATGAGATAAATATCTATATACATACACAAGTCCTATATACAAAAATATTTACAAATTTTCGGAAAGAGTTAGACCTCTCCGCGCCATTTATGGAAAAGTAATAATAAAAAAATTAACTACGATTAATATTAACAATAAAGAAAAATAAACCTATAATGTATACATACACGAAAAATATCTACACAATTATTGAAAATAAACGGGAATGAGACTAAAATGCGACAGCAAAAAATCGCGCAGGTCTAAGTAAAGATGAGTCAAGCTACAAATAAAATTCCCGCCTAAAAACTACTCCCAAAAAATTCGAGATGCCAATATTAAGGCTTTCATAACACAAAACACACCTCACCCCTCAATACTACTTTGTTTGAATTCATCCCCCCTCCCGAAAAAAAAACCAACAGAAATAGAAAATGTAAACAACGGATGTTCTCTCCTAAGCACAGATTTTCTGATTCATAACAGCATGAGATCGCTAAAGGCGCAGTGTTCCCGCTAATGGAACACCTGGTTTTATTCAATGATTCTGCGTATGGTTTTTGTATGAAAGATTAAAAAAATAATTTGGAGTACAGCCAGCAAAATTATGCCTAATTTTTTTTCCAAATAAAATTTTTATATCATTAAAAAAATAGAGAAAATTACTTGAAAAAAAGTGGATTTTAATAACGCATAATAAATGAAAATTCTGTGTCTCCTTGGTATATGCTGCTATCATATTAAGTGAATCAAGATTTTAAAATAAATAAGTAATATTTGTTTGTTGTATTAAACATTTCTTTCGGTGTAAGTTGTATAATCTACCTCATTTTTTGTGCTAATGCTTTCTCTTTAATTTTATAAACAGATATAATTTCTTGTTCAAGTCTTCTAATTGCAATGTGTAGAATTTCCATTAAACTGTTATTTGCTGTCTTTTCATTTGCAAAATCCTCTTTGTCACTTTCTTCACTATCAGTAGCAATATTTTCTGCATTTGGAACCATACTAGAAGTTTCAAGAAATGTCTCATTTCAGCATAGCTTAATGCTGAACTAGTGTCTGCTATACACTCTTGGCAATATGCTATGAGATTGATAACTAAAGACATGTTGTTTAAATTTTGTCTTGCTTCTATAGCACACAGCGGAAGTTAAGTCTGATTTATATTTAGTTTCATTTTTTATTATAATTATATCTATTTTTTGCATACGCTCATCTTTTCTGAGTTCTGAATAAATAAATTTCTACATATAGTTAAGGTTGAACAACACAGCTATTCCACATAGCTTAATAACAAACCAGTTATTCTTAATTTAGACAGAACTGACTAATCTTTTAGCCTGTGAATATCATTTACAAAATCTAATTTTTGCTTATGGAAAGAAATTTCTATTAAATTTTTGCTCATCAACACATGTAAGGCTTTGCAGCACAGTCGGCTGAAGTCTGTAATCGTTGGACCTCAAGCGTAATGTCAACATCAAGGTTCCCATGCTATTTGGCATTTAATTACTAATATATGTTTTTAAAAAATTGTTTTAAGCATCACTGCATGAGTCACTTCTCAAGCTGCCTTGAGTTGATCGTCTTGTGTTGATGAAAGCAACAAATAATAATAAATAATTGCCAGGCATCAGGTGTATAAGCTATTCAGTAGGTGTAAAATCAGCAATGATCTTTCATAGAATGTTTCTGTTTGAAATGTATGCTAAGCAAAAAGGTCACTACAAGCCAACAAACAATTATTAGCATGAAAATTTCTGCTAATAATGATTGTCTTTCTTCAACGTGGAGGTGCCGAACTGGAATTAGAGATCAAGAACCTTGTCATATTTTATTATGAAAAAATGTCTACTGTGCATGCGTGAAGCATTAATTGTAAACAGAAGCAGAAGCAAAGTGTGATGTGTTCAGGATGAAATCTTAATTCCAAGTGGGTTAGTTTCGATTCTGATTTCATTTTGATTGCATAATTAATACAGCTTTTAAATCATTATTTGCTGAAAGTTAAGTTATTTTCATCAGAGTGTTATGTAAAAAGTCATATGATATAGATTAATATAGGAATTGTGCAGTCTAAAAAATAGCAATTGCTATTTATTAGAATAGAGAAATACCCAAATTAAAATTAGAAATTAAGAATTTATTGCTAATTTGAGTTATAAGTTTTATATTGATATGTTTTATCTTACACTTACATACACACACACACTGAATAGCCAAAACATTATGACTACATACTTAATAACATGCTGTGCGACCTTTGGCCTGCAAAACAGCTGTAACTCTCCTTGGCATAGAAACTATACATTCTTAGTGGATGACTGGAGACAGATTGTACCAAATGTCTAAACAGCGGTCATGCGAAGGTGAGGTATTCCGACATGGTGATGTTTGAGCTCTTAGCTTTCACTGCATGTCATCCCAAATGTGCTTTGTTGAGTTAAGATCTGGCAAGTTAGTGACCAGGATTGGCATTCATCCTTATGTTCCTCGAACACTCCAACACAGTTCGAGCCTTGTGACATGGGGCATTGTCCTGCTGTAAGATTCCATTACTAGTTGGGAAGACAGATGCCATGTAAGGGTGCAACTGATCTGCATTCAGAGAATGGTCTGATCTACCACAACTAAGGGTCATAAACCTGCCTGCGAGAAAGTCCCCCAAAGCATACTACCACACCAACCTGTGTATGATCTGCTGTTTGGGGGAGGAGCAAATGTTTTCTTGGAAGGCGGTGTACCCTGACATGACCATCATGGTGATGAATGAGAAATCATGATTTATCTGACCAGGCAACTGTCTTCCGCTTATCCATGGTCCAGTCTCTCGATGTTCCTGGCTCCACTGTAGGCATAGTTGACAATGACCCTTGGTTAGCAGAAGCATGTAAGTGGGACCGCAGTGACCGCTGAACTGTGTGTTCCAAAACACTTGTACTTTGACCTGCATTGTATTGGGCTATCAGCTGAGACACTGTCTGGCACCGATTTTGCTGTACGAAGCGGAACAGTTTCCAATGTTCTTTTTCTTGGAAGACAGGCGGATGTCCAATACCTTTGTGTCTACCGCTAGTTTCACCATCATTTATCCACCCTGCTTAAATACTGTAAAAAAGTACTCTATTTTCTGGCTTCTTGAAAATTTTAATTTTGAAATAATTTTTAATATATGGCAGATTGGTAACAAATTACCAGTCGTACAGTTTCGAAGATTCTCGTTCCAAATCTTTGGGTCATTACTATTTGCCCTCTATCAAATTTGTTTAGATCAACAGCCTTTCCTATCACTCGCAAAAATAACTGCAAGAATGATTCTTTACCTTCTCCAGCAGCACGTATCCTCCACATCATCCAGACGAATTTATTGAAAAATGTTAGTCATAATGTTATGGTTCTTCAGTATATATATATGTGTGTGTGTATGTAATGAAAACAAATTTAGAGAAGTACTTATGTTGGAGCACTGAGATGTAGAAGCATAGCAGTATTGTTTGGAACAGATACGTGATGCTTAGAGCGTCGATCTGTATTGAAGAGGAAGAAGTCAAGGCTGGTTAAATTCCATTTTTATTTAAATAAACATTTGTGGCCGCAATTCATTTGGCACTCTAATAGTGCCTATTCAAAAACATTTACATATTTTAACACTATTGCTATAGGAACAGAACACAGCAAAATTATGTCCAAGCAAAACAGAGGGTGAGGCTGATAGTTGTGCATTTATCCAATATAGAAGCTTACCAAGAGGAAAGTTTTGGTTTAGGTTAGAAAAATTTCAATTCTTAGTTTGGGTTCCAAATTAATTATGTCATAGCATTACGCAAACCATGTAACATGAATTAATCTGGAAATGATGCAATCCAGAATCCCATATCCGGAATGATCTAAAATCCGGAACTCAAAGCCACTTTACCCATGCGCATTTGATTATTCCTCCTATAATAAAACATGTGGAGAATCCCAGTTCTTAATTTCAATTAGATACTAAATAAAATACCTCATTATTGAAGAAGCAATCATTTAAGCATAAATTTGTGAGATCAATAATTTGGCTCCATAGTTGCGTATCTGCTTGGCATACGTCTCAAACCAAAACATTCTACTTACGAACATCATTGATTTTATACCTACTAGTACTTTATATCCCTGATGCCGACCTGACGAATCATTATTTATTATATTTTGCTTTCATCACCACATGTTTATCAATACAGAATAACTTGAGTAATGACTCATGCAGCGATGTCTAAACTTATTTTATATATATTAGTAATTGAATAACAAGAGTATGGCAACCTTTTATGCTGATATTATGTTTGGCGATGGTTACAATTAAATGTGCAAAGAAATGTTGACGAGGAAAGCAAAAATTTCTTTTAATATGCTAAAAACAGATTTTGTTTAATGAAACTCATAGGCCAAAAGATTAAATTTAGTGCTATTTGAATTAAGAATAACTGATATGTTATTTACAAAAACCCAGAACAGGCATCAGAACTTGTATGGCTCCACACCAGGTGGCAGAATTTAAGGAAGACAAAATTTTTGGAATTTTGACAAGCACCGAACGGTATGTTTAAGAGATGAAAATTTTTTTATAATTTAGCTAAAGCTCTGCGATCCAAAGTTTAAGGGGGCAAAAATTTAGACCTTATGGAGGCTCTTTGTAGCAGAATTTAGGACCCACAGAGACTGCATCAAGCAGTATCTAGTGCCGGCCCTATATAAGCCTTAGTATATATAGGAGTTTTTTACTCAGGACTCAGATTAGCCTTAAGCATGTGCAAGAAATAGACGTAGGTGTAATAAATAACTAATACAGTTCGGGCTTAATTCAGTACGCTGTAGAAGGAAGATAAAATTTATCGGAACAACTCGTCTTTCGTCACTAATCTTATGATATATAGTGGATGCTATTAAGCTACGCTAAAATTATCTTTACTGATTCTAAAGAATTTCCGTTAACACAGCAGATTGCACTGCTCCTTAATCTCCTAATTTGATCCAGCTTGTTATTTTTTGTAGACTGTTATTATTACAGCAATTTTTGGTTATGTTGAAAAGAGTTTCTAATTCTAGAGCTGCAACAGGATCTACAAAGCAAAATCATTTTTTAATGTCCATTAAACAAAAAATGGAATTGCTGTAAAAATTGGATAAAGGCATATCCGTCTTGGTATTATGCAAGGAGTATGATATTGGAAAGTCAACTGTGTATGACATAAGAAAAAGGAACTTTTTGAATTTTTTGTGAATTCCGATGTCCCACTCGCAAGGAATAACAGCAAAATTGTTCGTTATGCTAAAAGTGATGACTGAATGGGTCGTAGCGAGGGCATGCCATTGACGAGTCCAATGCTAATGGCTCAAGCCAAAATATTTCGTGAAGAAATGAACTTAAAAATTAAGTACATATATTTGACAGGTTGGTTAACCAAATTTAAAAATCCCCGTAATATAAGGCAACTAAAAATTTCATGTGAAAAAGCTTCAGCTGATACTTTAGCTGCTGAACTATTTGCAAATGAAATTATTAAACTCCTTACTTATGAAAAATTATCTCCAGAACAAATTTAGAAAATTGATGAAACTGGTCTTTTCTGGCGATATATACCGGGAAATACCTTGGCAACCTCTACAGAAAAGGCTCCAACTGGTGTCAAAGATTCAAAAGCTACATTAACAATTTTAGAGTTTGCAAATGCTGCAGAAATGCATAAGTGCAAACTTTTCACAATCGGAAAAAATACATGACATCAAGCATTTAAAGGAGTGATGATTTCCCCCGTTATATATCGTGCAAATAAAAGAGCAGGGATCACACAAGCATTAATGAATGATTGGTTTGAAAATCATTTCATACCTAAGGCTAGGCAACATTTGAATTCTGTTGGTTTGCCTAATAGACACAATAATTTTTCTGATTGTAGGCAACTGTTCAGGTCATACTTCACTTAAAGATTTAGTGAAAGATAATGTATCTGTAGTATCCTTTTCTCCAAATCGTACATCCGTCATTCTGCCTATGAATATCGGAATATTGGTCAAGCTGAAATGCGAATATAGAGTATCATTTTTAAAATCCATGTTAAATTTCTTGAACAATAGCAAGTCTATTCAAGAATTTTTCAAATATTTTAGCATAAAATTTGCTGTCTGCAGCATCGCAAAATCATGGGAGGAAGTGTCTCCAGATACTTTAAAAAATGCTTGGCAATATTTATGGCTAGCTACCATATTTCATGGTGAGGATGATGAAGATGATATTTGCGAATTTGAAAGTTTTCGGATATCGCAAACCAAAGGCGAAGTTTTCCAATTGATGGATTTTTTAAAGAAATTTGGAAAAGCGGTAATAAATGGAGATATAACAGAAGTTGTTCATTGCGATGGCAATGCCCCAATCATCAATCAATTAATGGACAGCGAAATCTATAGTATGGTTCTAAACCCAGAAATATTGCTACCAATAGTGAAGAAATTGACAGAGAGGATATTGAAAATGAAAAAATTTCAATTGACAAATTAATCAGAATTCTCGACACAGCAATTACAGGACTTGAACAGTGGAACTTTTGTAACTGAACAAGAAATTATGTCTGTTTATAGAATTAAAGATAAAGTATTAGCACAAAAATGAAACAACTTACATTGAAAGAAATATTTAATAAAGTAAACAAATAAATATTAAGCCTTTTTGTGTGTGTGTGTAAACTTTGATATCCTTTAGCTCTCTATTTCATAAATCATGATTTCATATTTTTATTGTACAATTTCTGCATGCCATCTTACTAGATTTAAATTGATTATCTAATATCCGGAAAAATCCAGAATCACCGAAATCCTGACGAGTCCAGATCTCAGACTTTGTACTGTACAAATGAATATTAATTTTTGTAATTTAATGTTTTGCATTAACTTGTCATTAAGTTCTCCATCTTCTGACTTCTTGAAAATTTTAATTTTGAAATAACTTTTAATATACTTTTTTTTTTTTTCAGGTTTGTTTGATATTCCATATTTTAGATCACTACCTGAAAAATATCGTCGTTTCATGCCATCAGTAGTTCCATTTCCTTCAGGTTTAGGGAGTCCAGATGAATTTGCACATCTTGTACAGACAGTTTTAGAGAATAAAATGCTAAATGGTGAAATAATTAGATTAGATGCTGCATTACGAAATGAATTATAAAAATTTATGCTGCATTAAGAAAAAAGTTGTGGCAATTTTTTTTTATTTCTTATTAAAAAATAAAAATTGTGATTATGATGCTTGTGTTTCAATTGTAAGCATTTTGTAGCTAAGTAAATTCTTTGCTAAATAAATTGTTTTATTAAAATAAAAATATATTGGTATAGAGTCACAATTTTTTTTATCAGTAAAAATATTAATCTTATTTATTTCTAAAAATTAAATTTACTTTTGAAGTAAAAATTATACGTTATGTGAAATATTTCTTCAGCATTGTTTAAAAGACTGACTATTTCAAGAACATTGCAAGGATTTTTTAAAATCTTTTATTAGCTAAAAAAGGGGCAATAGTTTATTAAACATAAATATATTTTATAATAAAATAGGAAAATAAAATCAATCTTCTAAATTAGTATGTATCATGATATAATCTCTTAAAAGTGCTGCCATCTTTATGCAAGGTGCCTCTATTGTTAGGAGGCTGTTTGTAATTACAAAAGTTTTCATAAACTCAGTTTCTCCATAAAAAATACCCCAGATTTTATCTTGAAACAAATGCACCATAAATTTGGTGGCATTCTTATATTTGGACACCAGTGTAAGGTTTCAGTTTGATTAACGCGTTGAACAAAAGTCCTGCTTGTGTAGTCTTTTCTTGACATAAAGGTGTTAGGTGTTAGTACCTTTTTAATGCCCTGTTAATTCCTGATATCTATACAAAGGTTAATAAATTGACTGCTAATGATCAAACAAATTTAATAGAGAATAATCATTTTATTTATAGCAGATAGAAGAAAATATTTTTGAGAAATGTAAAAATTTAGTTTTAAAGCTATATTAATAAAATATGGCATTATTGGCTGGGGTGAGAAAATTATGCTTAGTAACTAAAACAGTAATTATATTTGTCTTTTGTGGACATGAGTTATTTTTAACATTATTTATATAATTTTAGAAATAAAAACTCGACCAAAAAGAAATTATTTCCGTAATTTCCGGAAGAAATGCCGCGGCGTTTACGTGTTTAAAACTTAAATTTTCAGCGGCTGCGGCATTTCTACCCATGCGGCGTTTAGGTGCACTGAAAATAAAATATTTCCTATGATGGTCATTGTACGTAGTTTGGATGGCCTTGTCATTGTGCATAGACTGGTGCTGTTCCCACACAAAAGACCACTCAGTTGCTTTTTGCGAACATTATTTTGTTTACATTCTTTCCCTTGAACGGACCTACATGCCTTATTCATCCTAAACGAGATCTCAGAACAATAACATTCTTCCCCCTTTCAAATCAACATTCTCATCAGTTTGAATAGTCTCTGTCCTCTGTGATTCGATGAATCTTCCAGTACCCATCCTCTCCCCACCCCTGCCTTTTCTGCAATTTTTTTCAAAGGCGGACACGACTCCACCTGCCTCGCAATAACGAACTCTGACGTATTTCCCCTTCAGCATGAATGAATTTTTCTTGGCATTTTCCCAAATACAGATCCCATCAGTTTGGGTACAAGTACTTGTTGGATAGTTTTTTAAGTAAGAAGGGAGCGGAAAATTTTTGAAAATGTCTCTAAAGGGCACAGAAGCTATACATTTCTTACCTTTAATTTATTTTTGAGTTATGGTTTCATTTCATGCATTTTTCTTAACTGGTATGTCATATATCAGGACTTAGTTTGAGTTTTTGCATCTATACGGCCCACGACGATGTCACGCGCAATTTAATCTATTGCGGCGTTTCTGTGTAATTTTAATTTTTTTCCCGCCATTTTTCTCGAGTGCTGCGTTTACGCTGATGCGGCCTTTCTTCCGGAAATTACGGTAATAAATAAATTGATTATTTAAATCAAAGATGAAAGAAAGGTTTATCAATCAGATAGTGAAGAACCAATTAATAAGAGAGCTTATTTTCTAGAAGAGTATTCGTTCTGTGTAGAAGGAAAAGAATTAATAGATATTTTAATCTCGCAAACGAAAGAGTGATATGAAAAATTGAAAGTTACTTTTCTGTTTTGATTTTCCGACTGGTGAAAATTCATGTCCTCAGATTTAGAAATTTAGGTTATTTTAAAAGTTAATTTAATTAAATTTTAAAATTTTTATTAAATTTTGTTTGTTTGTTTGAGTTTTGGCTCACAACCTGAAAGGATGTTTGTGCATGTCAGATATTTCTAAATACAAGTTTAAAACCAGGACATAAAATAAGATATAAGGTATATACAGTACAAAGTCCGTAATCCCGACGTCCATTATCCGGAATGATCTATAATCTGGACCTTAACCCGTTCGTGACCAAGGTCGCGTGGACGCGACGCAGCGATTCCACTCTTATCAGCGCCGCTTCCACGCGAAGAGCTCCGATTGATATGGAGAGACCAGCATCGCGTATGCGTAATCGGAAATCGGAACGTTTTATTTGAATTTTTAAATGCTACTAGATGGCGTTAAACGGCAACGGTTTTCACAACAGTCGACTCATATGGTATTTGACCTTCATGAACGGGCATTGGTTTCTGTTCTATGCTTCTGTATTTGATATATTTATTGATGTAAACAAAGTGAGAATCACGGCTCTTTAAAGGGCTGGGATTTATTGCTCGCTGTGTTTATATTTTGACAGATTGTGGAAATTTATGGAACGTTTATTAGTTGAAATGTTGGAGTAGAATTGCGTTTGTCTTTTGAGGTTTGACAGAGCGAGATTTCGAAATAGATGAATTAATAAAATAGTGAAATGGAAGAAAGAATTTCTTCTACTTAATATAAACAAACTGGGAAGCACGGGTGTTTGAAAGGGCACGTGTGAGTTCAAGTGACTTGTTTATTGCTTTGTTTTTTTCATTAGGAGAATATGGGGGAGTACATTCAGCGGATTAGCGGGATGAGTAATATTAGCCATATTATGAGTGCAAAATATGCAATGTTGGACTCTGTGTGGATCCTTGTTTTGAACTATATCACACACAGCAGAATTTTTAAATTTCGATTTTATTCAGAATATATTATTATTCTTAATTTCCTCTTTTTTTATTTTGTGTTTGTAATATTTGCAGCTTTGTTTTATTGTGTATAGTATTTGTTTTCATGTGCATAGTAATAATTTTAGTTTTTTGCATATTTCATTCATTTGTATTAAGTTATATTTTTTATTTTAATACATATTAAATAGAAGTATAGTATATATATAATTTATAAATTTGGAGTCTTTTTATTAAAATGCTGATTTTATACGAATATTTTTGTAAACTTGGGCTTAACTGCTTAAAATGCGCGGGCCGGTAGTGACGCTCCATTTCAGAGCGTTCGGTCCCGTGACTGAGTTTTATTTCCGGCGCGCTGGTCCTCAAGGGGTTAAAGCCACAAACTTATGCACGCGTGTTTAATACGCACATCCACTACGCATGCGCATAAACCATGCACGCTTCCGATAGAAAGTGACAGAGAGGGTATTGAAAACGAAAAAATTTTGATTGACAAGTTAGTCGGTATTCGCGACACAGCAATTACAGGACTTGAACAGTAGAACTTTGTAACTGAATAAGAAATTATGTCTGTTTATAGAATTAAAGAGAAAGTATTAGCACAAAAAAACAAAGGAACTTAAACAACTTATATTGAAAGAAATGTTAATAAGGTAAACAAGTAAATATTAAGTTTTTTTTTTTTTTTTTTTTTTTTGTAAATTTTGATACCCTTTAGATCATAATTGCTCTTTATTTCATAAATTATGGTTTCATATTTTTAATTGTATAATTTCTGGATGCCATCTTACCAGATTTAAATTGATTATCTATAATCCGGAATCGATGAAGTCCCGACAAGTCCGGATTATGGACTTTGTACTGTATAGCATTGAAATGATTACAGATGTGAACATGACTTATATTGAAATCTACAGTGTTCAAATACAGACGAATATTCTAAAACATGATTCAGAGTAAATGATAAAAACCCGACTCTGGCGTGTAATGAAATAAATTTGTGATGACCTCTTTTCCAATTATTTGGTAAAAAGGTAAGTCACAGCTGTTAAAATGCTTCATACGTGTCTATTAAGATTAGGGAATTGAGTTAAAAAGTGATGAACTGATAAAACAGCATTACAATTGGGACCACAGTATCTTTTGCCTTTTAAAAGATGGTTATGGTTAATATGGCAATGATCATTTCTAAGGCGAGTTAAAATTGTCTCCTCCCTCCGGTTTCCAACAGCCTCCCAATATTCAACTTTATCCTTAATGCTTTGTAACTTGTTATTTACTTGAAGGTTCCAAAGTTGCTGCCATTTATTTATGATCTTGTTTTTGATGACCATGATGATATCTCTAACTGGAACAGACCTAGCAGAGAAACTTGCAGCAAATTTTGCAGTAACGTCTGCCAGTTCGTTTCCCTTAATACCTATGTGTCCTGGCACCCAGCAGTAATCCAATATCCACGAATAGTTAAATTCAAATGCAATTTTAAAATTTCAATAGTTAGAGAATTCTAGATTTCAGTAAACGCTTGCAGAGCATTTAGTGCACTATAGAAGTCAAAATAAAAAATGAACTTTTTCTGACTTAGCTTTGATATGTATGAAAGGGCATAGTACCTAGTAGTCAACTCCACAGTAAGCACCAAGCAAGCCTCATGCAACTGCTTTTCTTCTGTATGATTTACCATTACAAAAGAGGATCCAACATGATTGGCTGCTTTTGAGCCATCAGTGTATACGGGAGTGTAGCCGCTGTATTTATGTTTATGCTCAAGAAAAAGTTGTTTATATATGAGGTCGCTCGTATTGTTTTTATTCAAATGATGGAAAACATTAAGCAGCTGGATTTGTGCATTTTCTGAAGTTGCAATGTCAAAATGCTTTACTGTCTCGGCCTTCAAGTTAGTTAGAAGATGTTCTTCAATCAACGGCTGGACTCTTTGGAGGAAAGAAGACATGCAAGATGGTCATGTTTCAAACAAGCGAACAAACAACAAGTCACCGTGCAAAGTGGTGTTGCTTGAATGTATCAGTTGTGATAGTGTATTAAAATAATGACTAAGAGACAACTGCTCACACCTTAACTGGAGAGATGGTTCAAGTAAGTCAACATATAGACTCTGAATGAGAGGCATCCTAAATGCCCCAAAACAGGTACGGACAGCCTGATGATGAACAGG